GCTTAGAGTAGAGCTTCTATACATTGGTGTAGCAGCATTGTATTTGTTGATGAATTAGAAGCTCTGTTCGCTGTGAGTGACCGGCAAAATAGTTACGGTTTGCTGACGTTTTTGAAACGTGTATTTTTACTGTTGACTGGTCTCACGTAGGAACAACCGAGATTGGCTCATCTGTAACCGGGTTTGTACTGCTTGCAGGAATGGTCTTAAGCGTACCTCTGGAAGCTCAAGTTTCCTATTGTCATGTCACGCTTGGATTGCCATTATTACCATCTTGGGCGTAGCCAACTTTCAAAATTCTTGGCCCGCTGCCGTGGTAGTTTGGGGAGGCAACTAGACGAGTGACATCAAAAGCAACGACATTTTGCATGTCGTAGAGCTCTGTGATGTACCTCCACTTTTCGATGTCGTCTTTTAGTCATTCACTGTTATCGTCATACCTTAATTCTGGTACACCATGAACCAGTATCACTTTCATCGTCTCATTTTGTCGTGTTACGTGCGGGTCAGATTTCCGCTTCTGTCTTTCTGCCCTTCGCCTGTTAGAAATAATGCGGGAACTGACAGAAGAGTTCACTAGAATGTAGCTTGCTAAGAGTACATCTTCCAGTTCAAGTGTGTTGTCAACTGTTACCCGCAGTAACCGAGGATCCCCTACGTGCGGAGATGCTTGATTTCGTGAACATATGGCTCTACCAAGGAGTTCGGCAGTAGCAATGCAATCGAATGATAAAGGGCATGAGATTAACTTGCATAACGTTAAAATCGTTACAGAGGGGTTACGATCAACTGCCTAAAGGCTGACTGCTGAGGCAGTTGAGATTAGCAAAGTGAACAGCTGCGTGAACGGAATGGACGGAGCAGAGCTTTCGAGAGTGTGACGAACTGTGTTAACCTGACCAGTCTGAGGAGCTGTGATGGACGTATCCAGAGCAGAGAATGAACATCACATCATCCCCGCACCCATCATTAACAGGGCTTACTTGTATGACCTTGTAACGCGGACCACTTGTGACCGTTCCATGCACTATTTGGAGAGATGAGTTGATCTGTAACGCGATTGACCTTCTGCCTACTTACCATTCGTCGCGATTATCATCTCAGTTCGCCATAAGTACTATACCAATCCTCGACTGGTTCACTCGGCCTGAGGAAGCTTTGTGTCAAGAGAAACGTTGCCCACAAACTATACCAACCGGTTGTTTTCAAACCTTTCTGAAATCATGAGTTCTCGATCAGTTCCAACTATTTTCCAAGATGTTGAGTGTGTAAGACTAGTTGGGAGCAATTTCAGTCCGAGTGCACAGTTTATCTCAGAGTAGCGGTTCTTCTCTTCGGTTTGTCTACCTTTTACCGATTCGCTAGTGGGTTCTGGGACGTTTAAACTCATCACTGTCATTCCCTTTTGGTTTGCGCAGTAATTGTTTGTTCCGCAGTTCTTTGTGTAAGGAGGTTTGTAGTGTGGGAGTGTCTGGCTTGTTTTTCGTGGAAGACAGACCAAGAACACAGCAAGACTGTTTACGTGCAATGCTGTTAGTTGCAATGAACGTAGGAGTCAAGTGTTGTTGCCAAGCTACTGACGGAGGTGATCGTGCAATTTGTGCTTAACTCTGCATGTTTTGCAGTATCTCGTGAGACTTGGGAGATAGGCCTGTTTCCGCTGCTGTTTGTCACTAATGGTGTTCGCTTTTCGCTGGTCTGTGTAGCATCGTTGCTAGAGAGCTTTCGCCTTTTAACAGGTCTGAGATTTGGGCTACGTAATACATTATTCTGCAACTCGGGTTCTGAGATTTTTCCTCTCAATCCCGCGATCAGTTTCTTCTGCTCTGCCTACGTAGCAGCCAACATATCACACTTTATCGTTAGCGTTTAAACAATCATAAATATCAGACTATCTGAACATAATTCACAGAACCACAACCTATCTGTCGATACGTTTTTACCTCCGTTACGTGTTCACATTGGTCGCGTCGTGGGAATTGGCACAGAAGGAACACATGATTTTCGAGAGGATCGCTGTTCCCCGCTTGTCTGAGCTACGATTGACCCTGGGTTTGTTGCTCACTGGATTCCTGGTCGACAAACTTCTCCGGCTCATGGCTCAGTGCACTTTTAGGTTGCGCTGGTCACCCCGTTTAGGCTGCCTCAGTTGTCTGATCGGGTCAGCGGGTTTGGTAGTGGTGCGTCACTAGGCGCACGGGAAGCCAAAATTACACAGGCTGTGTGGTGAAATGTACGTAACAATACGGTGGCAAGACGAGACGACAAAAAGCCTCTAGCTATGACATACGGTGCTGCACATTAGTAAGTTATATATGATCTGGTAGCCTTAAAGAAGCTCTGTCAGTTGGTATCTCAGAAGTGCTGATGAAACTGATAACCAAAGGTACTTACGTTGGCCTTAGTGAAAGGACTTCCGAAGACGTTTGTGGTGTACCAGCGTGCCGTTTTACTTACTTCGAAAAAGTTAGATCCTATTGCATAGAGCTTGGTGATCCGAATTGATTGAGCGTACTTCCAAAAAGTTGGCAACATAATGTGAAGGGATAAGTCCATTTTAACACAGAGCACAGGATTGCACGGTTAGCACGCACACGCCGTTAAGGTCATGATCATGTACACTATTCTCCGAATCTGGCTTGTGTTCATGAAGCTTCTGCGACGGTTCATTCTCTTACATTTTAGGCAATGTAGACCAGGTGTTCTCACCTGTTTTAGTTCTAAATATTGCTGGCATGTTTTGATTCAAGTCTCCTATATAAGTATCAAGTGGTTGTAAAAGCTAGATGGAGTAGTCGATCAAGCGCTGCAAACGGTGTAGTGAAGAAAGACACGGAACTCGTCACTTCTCCGAAACATTTCGCAGAGTAACGAGAACATGCAACAAAATGAGCAGATGTATCTTTAATTCTCACTTCGGCTATGCCGTTACCGTTTATTTCTTTTTTGATCGTTTGGAAGTCTGTTCTCATAGAAATCCAGGATGCATAGGAAAGTCTAAACAAGGTGCTGGATCTGCATCTAAGTTATGTCAAGCTTAAAACATTAACAGTTTCCCTTCTTAAGAATAGAGGGAAAATGATTGGCATTACAATGGATGAATCAAATAAACACTATGCTGAGTTGGCGTAATCATGGAGTACCGAATCTGCCGAAAGAAACGAATGGATAGAGAAGAATTGTTTGATATATTGATGATATCTCGATTGAGGTAAAGCAATAAATGTTGTCTGTCATGTATACTTTGACTGCTGAAATGCTATACATTTCAGCGAATATATGATTTTGCAAGCAGATATGCTTTTCTTGCACCGTTACATCTCTAATAACCATCATTGGGCGCTTAGCGAAGTTGCGAAAGTTAAAAAATAGAAGGATTTTTTGTCGAAAGAAGATTACGTTATTTTGTGAAAGGTTCAGGATACGACAAATTAACGGACCTTCTGAAGTTTTGAACTTCACAGAGAAATACCACTTTTGGCATCTGTTGCGCATCTTTCTTACCCGAATAATTAGCACTGCTAGCTGTGAGAGAACACATTCTCAAAACTCAAGCTTATAACGAACTACCTTTAATTATCACTGAACCATGCAAAGCTCACGGATTGGCAGTTCTCCGCATAAGGACGGAATTCACTAGTGGAGTGAATTTTTTGATGTTGCCCCAAGTAATGCGCGCAAAATACATCTGTAGATTTTGCTCATGAGTATTGCAACAATACAAATACTCGCATTTACGACGGTGCTTTGAATTTTATCTTTGTTGTTATATGAATCCAAATACATAAGGTCTATTTGCAATTGGGTGAGTTTACAGATTTACAACTGCCAAGGGAGTGGCGATTTTACATCCGCCCCGGGTGGAAAAAGTAGTTGTCCTGCCACTGCGCTGAAGTACCTCGTGATCTCTTTGTTTGGTGATCGCCGGCCACATTGTAACATCATCAGCAAAAATTAGAAAACCAAGGGCCGTCAGACCCGTAATCTCTTTAAGGAGCACGCGGAAGGGATGCGGCCCCAGTAGTGATCCTCATATAACTTCATATTTGATATCGCTGGGATTGGACAGCGATATTTGAACTCCAACGTACAATTGCGGATACTGTGGGAGTGAATACCAGAGCGTGGGTTGTAACGTCAACATTGACACATTTCCCCCCAACTTCCCTCAAATGGGCAATAACAATTTGCTGTATGTTTCGAGGTTATCTTACTCATGAGTGATTATTTGCAGGCGACGGTGTACTTGGGTGTGACCGAACACTAAAATCGAGGGACTAATGCGCTATTTGGGTTGTCAATCCGTATACGGCAAATAAGCTGGACATCCGAAGTTGGTAGAATTAGGTTGGTCATGCAAACCCTATCGGGGTGCTTAATGTATGACCGGCGGAAAATGTCGAACAGAAGTTCAAGCAGTGGCGTACAATTGATGGCACTGTGAGAGTCTTTCAGAGATATGATACTTCAGTATTTATCGTTCAGGTTATTACGAGCGGTAACATCTCCGATATTTGAATTAGCTTATGCGGAGAATGGATCATTTAAGGTCAATATGCCATGTCGGTGAATTTTCAGGCGATAGCTCCAAATATAGATGAGATGGAAGACTAATGTTACGAAAATGTATTTTACGGACATACCTTATTAAGTGATCCCTTGTATAAGTCTATACAAGTTTTGTATTTTGCTGTCTTTTGGAAATTTTTACGATACACATACTTCGTGATTGGCTACAGACGTTTGCAGGGAAGTTACGGCTGCCATACTTTAGCATATATCTAAACATTTAAAGTATATATGATCTGGGAATTTCATCCCGCTTCACAGCTCTATAATATACATTCCCAAGTTAGATGTATACTTCCTTCAATTTGTTCTCCTGTTACAGTAGTTCACGGGGATACGCTACGGGTGCAGTATTTTCATACTCGTATCCATTGGCAACTAGAGTCTTATACTGCCTGTCTCAGAAACTTCCACACATTTTTGTTTGACAGATTGTCACATCAAGAATTTCGGATCTCGAGGTTTCAAAGCTGGTACCAACCTTCGGTGCGAATGAGAGCGTTGAAGATACTGGCACCTGGGTCTACCCATCACCACATATCAGCCTGCAAATTGCACTTACGAGCGCACATCCGTACCAACCGAAACCTTTTATACATCCTATGTCTTTAACTTCTGTTGCCCATCATAGACTCGGGCAGGCAATGATGCAACGGATTCAGTACGCTCTAGTACACCCTTAAATTGCTTTTTTGCCTTATTTATATCAAATATTTGTCGTTTTGACATATATTTCCTAGTTACGGCGGGACTTTTATCTCACGCTATCTGGGATGCATGCGCGACATCCTTGAGGACAGGGAAAAAGGGCCAAGCTTTATTCAGGATGGAGATGCGACAGTTGCTATTGATGACAATAAGGCCGCTGAAAACTCGACCGTCTCAACGGAACATCTAAGACTGAACTATCCTATTCAGAACAATCCTAGTAAGCTCTATAAACGGAAATAACTACGGTGCTGTCTGTTATAAAAGAAGACAAATTTACTTCGAAAACGTGTGCATTTTAATAACTAACTCGATGTGTCGTAAGTCTGGAAATCAATTTGATACGAGAGAACGGTGCCAGAAAACTTGTTTCTCTGCATGAGAACTGTGACTGTAATTATGGAATGTCTGGGGGGGATTGTTGATATCTGCCTTTCAGGTCGCGCTTGTCTGTGACTGTCTACAGGTATAGCCAGTAGCAACGCACCATGTCTTGGTTTTAGTTAACGGCAGACTGAATCTGTGCAATAACCAAAAATCACAAGGTGAGCGCAGGATAATTTATTTCAGAGCTGATTGCGAAGACAGGCCCATCGAAGACCACAGTGACGCCGACGCACACAACTATTTGCGGTAGCGTGTCCGAACCATCAGCGACACTGTCGAAGGTAGACGCCTTTTTAGGTCGAAACGCCGTGGACTGTGTCGAGTACTTAAAATAGATAACAGTGGAGCAAAGACAAGCATGCTGTTGAGATTCCCTGGCGCATGGTAAATTGACGTATTTTAAGCAACTACCATCCATGCCGAGACGGTTTTCCAACATCACAGAGATAAGTACATAGAGCGCGGCCGAGGTTACTCAAAGACCCAGGAGTGTGCCAGACAGGCACCTCGTTACTTCACTTGTAGCGAGCTGGAGAATCTGCAATAATCCACCTTATCATAATACTTATTGTATCTTAGCTGAAGGTGAGAAACATCTCAGCTATTGAGACGCAGTGCAAAAAAATATATATGCAAAGGCAAAGTACAAAATATTCTAGAATACAAAATAAAAGCCAGGAAGGATCAATATTACACTTTGTGCCATATTCTACACTGAGTGTGAGATTGCGGCTGAAGGGGAGGGGCAAAGGAACTCACAACACAAACGCTGATATTATCGAATCCTTGCCATTTAAATGGGCACAGCAAAACCAGGTGGTTAAATGGAATACTCCCATTTACCAGGACCCGAATTCCAACGTCATCAATCTGAACTCGGTGTTGACGCGATACATTTCCTCAAACAACCGTAGTCGAATGCGAACGAATGACATATGTTAGCCACGCGAATTGGCTAGCACTCGCTCCCATACAATAGCACTGAACGAACGCATGCAATGTAAACACGCCTCTTTGCTCAGATTGAGATATCCCGATGATGCCACAAGTGCCTCAGCTTAACAAAACATTATCGGTCTCAAGTGATCCGGGGAGAAATTTTCTTTCCGATTTTGCCACTAATAAAGGCACAGCTCCCAAGGTGGGTGAAATTATTTACCTGTTCAAAGTGCTATGCACCTTTAAGGATCAGTATGGGAGTAGGTGGGGGAAAATCATGGAGAAACGACTTGCACCTCAAGCGGGCGAATCTCATGCCATACTGAAGTGCTTCAACCGTTAGACGGTTGCGTACTTCGTGGTGGAATCGGTAATCGCAGATGAATTGAGGCGATATTTTGAAAGCTTGCGAGGAATTTTTAATGCCCAACATGGTTTCAGACGCAGACAGTCTTGCCTCACCGATCTGCTTCTTGCTCTGAATTTTTACACAGGAAGACTGATGAGGTCCCCACAGATGTGATTTACTTGGACTTCACTAGGGCATTCGACAACGTCAATCACTTCGTTCTTCTACAATAGTTTACTGACTGCCATATCCACGGTTCCCTGCTTATCTGGTTGGAAGATGACCTACGCAAACGAACAATCCTGTTAAGAATGGCGGAAAACCACTCTGAAAGCTTATGCGTCTCCATTGGTGTACCGCAAGGATCCATACTCCGCCCGCTAATGTTTTTAGACTATATCAATGACGTCCTTGCAAACAATCTATCCACGATTCAACTAGTTACAGTCAATGGTAAACTATGGAGGGCAATTCACTCAGCATCCCAGCGTGTATAACTGCAGAACGATCTGGACCGGATTAACGAATAGTTAGAAGCGAACCAGCTCCCACTGAACCCTGCAAACTGACACCTGCTGACAGTGCGTAGCAGCTACAATAACACATATCTTCTGGGATAGCTCACTATGCAACAAGTGACTAGTGAACGAGATTTAGGTATCATTGTAGAACGAAGTATTGGCAAAGCAATCCAATGGTCGAAAGATGTAAATGTGCCAACCTTGAGCATGTGCTTTTTGAGGCCAGCTTTCGGCACCTTCGAACGGCTGTTAGTACCACCATCATCATCGGTCTACACGTTAGCTGCAGGTGGAAAACACCTCAGCTATTGTGCCGCAACACAAAAGTCAAGAAGAAAAGAACATGAGAAGCACGCCGGCTGACCTCGTTCTGGAGAGCTAACAGCCGGCTGTCATGCCGCAAAAAGCGTTATATTACGCCTAAGGGATGAGATCGTGGTTGGATGGGGAGACTAAGCAGAAGGGGGATGGACAAAGGAACAAACAACGCAAACGCCATTGGGGCCGGCACCTAGCCATATCAGCAAGTGTGTCCAACCAAACGTGCTCACCGTCCTTAGGACCCCAGCCAGGCAGTCGGGATGCACCAACGGACGCCAACTTCGAACTGAGGGTTTGCATTTCTCTCGATCAAGTCATCGCTTAGCCTTCCCTATTCCTCTGCCAAATGCAAGCCCGACGAGCATACAATGCACCTCGCGGGAGTCGCTGTGCTGGCATGCGCAACACGTGGCCCAACCATCGGAGCCTCGTGCGTGGTATAATGGCGCTGAACGTTTCACTCGCTCTTCCGCACCAAATATGCGACGCCGAACACGCTAATTGCTCACGCTGTGCTCCCACCAGACATGAGCTAAGCTGCGAAGACAGCGATGATCGCACGTGACCAGCCTCCTTATGTCTGTCGACCTGATGGGCCAAGTTTCACAACCGTATAAGAGGGTTGAACGGACGACTTCGTTATAGGCTCTACACTTCAGGGAGAGAGTGATGTCGCATCTGCGCCACAGGTGGTGGAGATTGGCAAAAATACCTCGAGCTTTTGCCATACGATTCGTGATCTCAGCTTCGATCCCACGAGCGCTAATATAGTTGCCCAGGTACGTGAATTACTGAACGACTTCTAGTTGATCACCACCAAGTGTCAGCGCAGCGGTGGGTCCATGCCAAATTTGGAGAATAACTTTGCATTTCGACAGAGCAAAGCATAGCCCAAAATGATTGATAGCCAGTACTAATCGCTCCCGTGCAACCTGGCACGTTTGGGTGCTGTCACATAAGACGGTAATACCGTCCGCATGGTTCAAGTCAAAAGTCTTTCACCAGGAAATAGCTCCACACCTTCTAGGTGGTGTCGAAGGAACGCTCTTTCCATGACTTCATCAACAGCGAGGTTGAAGAGGAAAGGTGGCAGCGAGCAACGTTGTCTTACATCGCTGGAGATATTGAAGAGCGGCGACAGTTTGCCATAAATAGTCACACTACCCGATCTATGCGCGTACAGCGGTTTGATAATGTTTACATATTTTTCGGGTACACCTTATCTCAGTAAACAGTTCCAAAGGGCACATCGATCCTCCGAATCGAAGGCGCGTTTGATGTCCAGAACACGACAACGGTGGGTCGCCAGTAAACATGGCTGTACTCCAACAATTGACGCCGTGTGAAGATGTAATCAATGCAGCTCCATTTCGACGAAACCCGGCTTCCTCTTCGCGGATCAGACCTTCACGAGCGACAGACAATCATTGAAGAACGACAAAAGTAAGTAATTTAGAGGCAATTAAGATCAGACTGTTAATACCACGGTTGATTAACCCGTGTCTTCGCCTCCACGTTTAGTATGCTTGTCGCTCATGGGAAAAACGAGCCGTTTGTCTCTTGAGACAGCCCCAAAGAAGAACTAACATGGCATCGCGTGAAATATCCGGTCTCAATTACGAAGAGTGCCTTTGTTTACTTGGTGTATTCTCCTCAGAATACCGACGGTATCGCGGAGGTCTCATCCTCCTATGCCCGATACCAACTAAAAGCGAGCAACAATGTGTTGGGTAGCCCTACGGGAATCGACAACAAAATCGGGGCGGCGATCACGAGTTACTATTCGGAAGAGTCGTGATTACTGTACACTATATACAATAATTTCTTGTTGTCTGCTCACCAGCTGACTCTCGTTAACTGGCTTGTAATGTCTGCTACATCCCACTAGTTTGTGATTCTCTCCAAACTAGCTGGTCCATACTCATTAAGGGCATAGTTGGACCTCGCCATTGCCATCACGGACAGTCTGCACAGCGGCATCTGATTTGTCGTCCGTCCACTTAGTCGATGAGCGCACGATTGGCTATCTACCACCGCTGCGTGTGTTGCAATGAATTCAGGTGTATGCCATCCAATCGTCGGACAGCCGACCAATCCACTATTTCGCTTTCCGAAGTTGTGATGTTTCTCCACTGCGATGGGTCGGAACAGTCGTGCGTGCTCGGCTTTCTACTGATTGGCCCCTTTGTCTATTTATGTCACGGCGTTTCCATACGCCTCCGGTCTCAGCCAGCAGCACGCCATATACATAATTGCTGACCCTAGCCACTTACAAACAATGCCGATACCACGATCTGAAAGTAGTAACGCACCATTCCCTTTTGGATTGTGGGATGTACTTTTACTCTCTCTCTCAGGTGTTGAATACATCAGACATCACGACATTCGAAAGACTACTAACTCAGTAGTAAACGTTACACAACATTGTGATAAATTTTTCTGTTTAACCTACCGATACTTCATGTTCTACGTAATTTTAACGTTCTTTTCATTTTTCATTCTGTATGCCTTGTAATTT